ACTTTGGAACCTTTTCACCTGGAACTTAGTAACAAGGACAGAAAGGTTCACTGAAAACAAATGAGCTCCACTGAGAGAAACAACCAAGTTGACCATGGAGGAGGGCTGCCTCAGACACGGGGGTTGGGCTCAAGGTCAGCACAGAGGACATAACATGACAGATCCATTTTCAGTAAGTTCAGTACAGCCAATTATTCCTCTAGAGTTGGAACAATTCCATTGGTCTTCTGTTTAGCACCAGAAGAAGTAGGTGCCTTGTCTCAGCTATTTAAACTGAATATTCTCACCTTTTGTTTTGATATGAAATACACACAGATAGTCCCCCTGGGTGCTTTTCTGGTTAGTAGAAACTACCTCAGGCGTCAAGAAGCAATATCTCTGCCGTTCTCTTCTCTCTCCATATCAGGCTTTTCAGCTCTGATTACACCCGTTAACCCCCTCGTCTTATCACACGTTTAGTTCAGTTTCCTGTGGAGAGGGACTCTGAAAGGTCCAGCTCATTTTTTCATGCCCCCTGATTCTGTAGGTTGCTGAGCACACAGAGAATAAGTGGCCCAAATCCGCACCCAGTTCAGTTTGCAATGGCCAGCAAGAGGGGCTTCTCCAAGGTGGGGTAGAAAGCAAGGGTACTTTCATACACGATTCATTCATTCATTCATTCATTCACTCTGCAAATGCTTGGGTAGCTCTATGCCACTCAGTGTGCTAGGTTATTTGCAAAAGTTGATCTCAGATTGGCAAGTAATCTTTTGGTTTGAATCAGGGTTAAATCATCTTGTCAGAACCACTGTGGAATTTTTGCACGACCAGATTTTACATTTACATTTATGTAGTTTCTATATTCCTTTCTCCTCTTAGAAAACCAGAGCTCATTTAGTCCAACTCAACGCAATGATTTCTCTAGAACAGTGGTCAGCAAACTTTTTCTGTATCCTGCTAGGTAGTAATGTAGGCTTTGCAGGCCATACAGTCTCAACCATGTAACTATTCAACTTTGCTCTTGTAGTGTGAAAGCAGCCATAGATGAGTGCGTGGAGCCAGGTTCCAGTAAATTTTTATTTATGAAAAATGCAGAAGACAGATGTGGCCAGAGGGCTGCTTTAGACCATCTCTCACAGGTCACAGGGTATGTCTAGAGATGGAGACCTCACTCCTCTGTAAGGCAACTTGCTCCATCGTAAGACAACTACATTTGTTTTTATTTCTTTAAACTGTTAATATTGTGTTGAAATCACCATAGCTACAATTTTTTGAAGTTTATTTCAGACTCATAAAAGGCATAAACAATAATACAGTGAATATCTACATACCCAGCATAAGAAATGAACATTCATATGCATGTATTTATTCTTTTACTATTTATTTCCGTATAGATAATATATAATATCATCCTGTAAATGACAACACATCATATATGTGTTCCTCTAAAACTCATTTTCTTTTAGTTGTTTTTGGATTCTCCTGCACATTAGTACCAGCCATTTCCATCCAGGGCTCTCCCTTCTTTTTATCAGCCCAGGCTGAGGCTGTTGCTTTCTTAGCCCACTAATGTGGTTGGCTCAATTCAGACAAACCTCCATTTGGCAAGCAGACAGTCTGGGTGTCCCTACATCCTGTCTGTATGCAGTTGGTCCCTTGACTCCCCTGTGAACCTACTATATTTCATTTTATTGCTTTAGCACAGAGTCCATGCCAGCATGCTTCTGAATCTTAATTTTTGTCATCCTGATCATATGTCTTCCTCCGAGATATTGATAAGCTATTCAGACCAGGGCAGCAGACTGACTGCTATGGCTATCATGTTTCCAAGATGACGCTCATCTGTTAATTAACCTTCCCTAAGTACAACGTTTTGCTAAGTTATGGATCTGTACAGTGGGCCGGCATTTTCCCATCTGGTTTGGAAGGATCTTATTCAATAGCAAAAACATTTCCTACCTTTTGTCATGTACAACAGGCTATGGTGATGCAGAGATAAAGTAGACATGAATTCTGCTCTTAAAATGCTTACATAGGGAAGCAAAAGGCTTGCATTAAAAATGGCATTCCAGGAAATCTTTGGGAGACGCCCACAAAGGCCTTGTTGAAATCAAAATGCATAGTGTTAAATCTACCAGCCTAGTTGCTCTATCAGAAAGGGAAACATTTTTTGGGGGTACTTTCCTATGAATCCATAATCATTTCCAGATAAAATGTTTTTAAAAAGGAAAATAGGTTTTAGCAGTGGATGCGATATGATTTGATTGTAAGAGTCCTGCTTTTAAAATAAGTGCTTCTAAACCATCTGTTTAAAAATCAGTTCCAGAATTTTGACAGGGATTATCATTATTTTCACCCGTAATTTTGTGGATCTTCTCTTTCTCTGGTTTAGGGAGCATCTGGTGTTCCAGCACCTTCCCCATTGTCCACCATCCTCTGAGATGTACAGTCATTGACAGCAGCTGCTGTTGCAATCCCATGATTACAATACACTGTCTAAGGCCCTTCTCGGGTGAATAGGAAACAACAGGAGCAGAGGAGGAGCACACATGCTATTCTCTTGTAAACATTGGGAGGAGAGGAAGAAGGGCAGCTTGTGAGAAGATCTTGGGAGAGGGAGATGTACAGATGAACTCTGGGAAGGGAGACCAGCTTGCACTTCTGGTAGTTATCTCTACTATAAACGCAGAGGCACACACACCACATACACACACGCACGCATGCACACGCACATCCTAAGAAACAGGAGGTGTTTCAGGAACTTTAGGTGTTTGGAAAGTGAAGCAGCTCATTGCCACAGCTGTTCTGGTGTCAGATTTCTGCATCCAGGAAGATGCAGTGCCCTCAAGCAGTGCCTCCCAGGTACCCAACATTGGCCTTTCATCCGGGATCAGGACAGGAGGCAGGGAAGCAAGAGTCAGTCGTAGCTGGGGACAGTGAGTTGCACAGATGTGGCCTCTCATGGCTCTGCCTCCACCTCCGCCCTTAGGACCCCAACCAGCTGATTCGGGCCAGTGCCCTCCGCGTCCTCTCTAGCATCCGCGTGCCCATCATAGTGCCCATCATGATGCTGGCCATCAAGGAAGCTGCCTCGGACATGTCACCCTACGTGCGGAAAACAGCTGCCCATGCCATCCCTAAACTCTACAGGTATGCCCCAGCCCTGCCCTTCACGCCTCCGGAGCGTGGCTCCCCAGCTCCCAGCCCACCCCTGGCTCCTTCCAGGTCTCACAGGCTGGCTTTTTTACTCTTCAGATGGTTTAAGACCGTGTGGGGACTGACAGGTGGAGGACAGTGGGCGTGGTGGCCCACACC